TAATTCCTAGTACCAGCTCTGCTTAGGCAACACTATCATACTTCAGTGTATACAGAGTATTTAGGTGATAATAAACTTTTATCCTTCTCTCTAATGATACTTTTATTATTATTATTATAAATAATATATATCTTAACACATATAGAAGGGTACTTGGTTCGCATATCATATAATATCAAATATTTTCTTAACACATATTCCAAGCAATAAGAATATAACTCACATATGAACTCCTTAACAGATACTTAATACATTAATTAATACTCGTATTAAAATCATGTTCATGAAAGGGACTATGCACTCACTTGATAAAGTGATGACTGGAAAATTGGGCAGCGCTTTGCTTCGGCACTTGGCTATTCCTTTGATGTGACCTAGGTTCAATTATCACTAAGTCTTAGTTTATTATTTTCTTACGACTAATGAATAGTCTAGATTCCTCAATAATCCCAATGTCTACATATCTATAGCTGATAAGAGACAACCAAGTAGGATCATATCGGAGGTAGGGTCCGTTTGGTATACAGTGTATACTGTTTGGAAATCCCACTTTAAACACCTCACTAAATCCAGCCTAGACATCATCCCCGTATGTGGATCAATCAGTACTATCACGTTGGAACCACTGACAAATCTTATTTATAAATTCATAACAACGACTATGAATTTTAAATATAAATTACACTAAAATAATGTAATTTAACTTACAGAGATTCCCTAGACAAAAGTCTGTAAATTGCACTGATAGAGCTTCTACTCAAAGGCTACTAAGGTAAAATGGATATAAGTCGAATAATATCGAGAGATAATGTGTGTAGGGTGAGATACGAAAAGCTTATACGGAGACGGGTATTTGTAGCCCAAAAAAGCAATGTGTGCCACGCACCCTGTCGTGCGCTCCGCGCACTATGTCGGAGGTGGTGATGTAGCGTTCATTTAGTGGTGACATGTGTCGCAATCTCATGGGTTGTTGATGCGCGCCACACATCTTGTCTGTGCGCGCGACTGCGCGAGGATTTTTATAAAATATTAGAAAACTCATATCTTCTTCATACGAGCTTCGTCTGCAATGCATTTTATATCCACACATAGCTATCGACGAGATCTACAACTTTCATTTAGACTCCGTCGGCTAATTTTGACTTTATTTTTAAAGTTATATTTTTAATAGGCTTAGACTGTTAAAATCCGTTAAAAACTCATAACTCTCTCGTCTGACATCTGTTCTTGACTGTCTTTATATTGATGGATTCCTATTAATGAGATCTTCAATTCTCATTTAGATTGTTTTTCCCAACAATCGATTGTTATGAATTTCGGTACCAGTGTTGCACACTGTTGCGTTGAAATTTAGAAAAATTGTAACTTCCTCTTATGAAGTCAAATTTTGGCATTCTTTACATGTACAATCTCGGTTTAACAACTAGTGCGACTTTCATTTAGATCTCTTAGGCTAAAAAGTAATCTATCTAAAATTGAATTTTACGATACGTAGAGTCGTGCCAATTTAATCGTGAAACTTCAAAGAAGCATAACTTCTTCATACGAAGTTGGATTTCAGTGTTCTTTATATGTACGGAATCCTTGTCTCACATACTATAACTTTGGTTAAGGTTATTTATCCTAAATAACCTTCTATCAAAAAGTCATTTTAACGCTTATTGTCTCTAAATTGACTAGCCAGAATTTGCGGGCGTTACAAATAAACACATAAACACAGGAAACTATCTACACTAGTCTACATGTATAACAACTCACTACCACATACAATGCCTCATATAGTACACTACCCTACTACCAGTAGATCTCCAAGGAATACATAGTTATATGTAACCATAGGTGAGATAGACATTTGAACAGGTGATCCCACTCTAGAGCCACAACCAAACAAGGAACAGACAAGAAAGCCTAGAACAAGAGTTCTCATGCTATCCTACGTAACTAAATACAGGCCCTAGGGCACTCCATTAGACGATTACCAACCTACGGGTATTCTAACCAGCATACCACTACTCATATATCCTGACACACAAGGATATACATTGTAACACATACTATAGTGAGGAAACTCAACTAAAATGTAAAACCGGATAACACTACAACACTCTCAAATCCACACACTGGACAATCCCGCGAACCGACAGTCACCCCAATCAAAGAACACACCTCTAACAAATCATAAATCTGAAGAGAATGTTGGATCCAAGCTTGCTCCTTGTTCCCTTGCACCAAGATGAACCTCTCATTTCCCCAAGCTTCACCAAAATCCAAAGAATGAACTCTAAATCAAGAAATCAAGCCCTCAATCAAGCATGGAGGCTAGGGTTTTGTTTGGAGTTGGAGGCTAAAGAGGATGCCATAAACCTTGAGTTTTGTTGCTTAAATAGGAAAGAAACCCTAAAAATCATGGGTTTGGGCTTCAGCAGCTGCCACGTCGTGGCACCCCTCCTTGCCACGTCGTGGCGGCCATCAGATGCGTGATTTATGCATTTTCCATGCCACATCGTGATACCCATTCACCACGTCGTGGCACAAGGCTTTTCCTAAAAACCTTACTTTTAATCCCTCAAGCCCTCAACCAATATATTTCGGAAACAAGTATTACACTTTAACTCGATAATAACCACTCATGTGTTTGAAACACGTTTATCAATAGAGAAACATATAGCTATGGTATATACATTTGACATATTTAAGATTGTGCAAAAAGAAATTATTGACTGTTTATGGTCAATTGGAGGTGTATAGAGTTAAAGATGTACGAAATAATTCGTTTAGAAAAGATTATGAAGGTTGAGATGATATAGATGAAGATGTACGAAATTGTTGATTGTTTATGGTCAATTAAAGGTGTTTAGAGTTAAAGATATACGAAATAATTCGTTTAGAAAACGTTATGAAGGTTGAGATGATATAGATGAAGATGATGATGATAATTTAGAAACAAGTGTTAATGTTTCATAATACAAGGTACTTTTACATGGACAAACCTTTACATGGATATTTTATTTTTAATATTATGTTCATTTATTAACATATAGCTTGTATTTACGAACCTACTTGATGTTCATAGTTGAACATTAAACTGTTATGCTATACTAACATGAATTATCTTAAAAAAAAAAATACAGGTTGAGAAAATAACATTGAGGATACAATAAATTGTTCATGTAATTTCTATTTGCATCAAGGTGTGTTTTGTTGGCACATTTTTTGTATTTTAAAACTTAATAATGGTGCATGTAGTAAAATGGTAGAAAATATGAATATTATGTATCAAGCGTGAATTGAGATGTCATCAAAGGATACCAATGCAATGAGCAACTTTTTTGAACATCTTAAGGATATCAAAGATATTTTGAAAGATTTTGGGATGATTGAAACAAGAACTTGAGAGCCCCTAATAATTCTGAATATGAAATTGAAAGCAAACGATGGTGACCCACTTGAGAACCCAAAAAAAATATAGAAGAATTATTGGAAAACTTAACTACCTGAAGATTACACATACATACATTGCTTTTCCAGTGGGTGTTGTAAGTCAATCTATGTTAACTCCACAAACCTCTCATTAGGATGCGATTAGTCATATTCTGAAGTACATAAAGGGTGCTCGCGGTTATGACATCCTACATAAAAATCACGATCATCATGTCATCGATGCCGACTATAATGGGGATCCTATAAATAGACAGTCTACTACAGGTGAGGCTATTGTGTGTTTGTCGGAGGGAATCTAGTTTCATGAAAAACTAAGAACAAAATGTTGCTTCATGGTCAAGTGTTGAATCTGAATATCAGGCTATTACTCGGACTACACGCGAGCTAATATGGGTACAAAATTTGCTAGATGAAGTTGGGTTTTCTCAATCTAAACCAATAAATATGTATTGTGATGATGAAGCGACTATCCATATTGCAAACAATCTTGTGTTTCACGAAAAGGCTAAACATATCAAAAGTGACTATCATTTCACACATGAAAAACTAGAAGATATACTCCCATGTTCGAGTAGGAAGTCAACCAGCTAATGTCTACACCAAAGTTTTACCTAATTTACGGATCTTTGGTATTTGTAACAAAGTTGGACAAGAGTAACGTCAATGATATAGTTTGAGATTGTGTCAGAATGTAAATGTTGTATATATTAATTTTGGCTTAGTTAGCTCAATGGATTCATAGGGTTTCCTAAGACTAGAGATTCAACCTTTATACATAGGTTTGTGTCACCTACTCGTAAAGTACACAAAATAAGTTATTTTCACTTTTAGGTGTTGTTTGTTTTTCTGAAGCCAAAATGTCTGCAGTCTGCGGACCACATCTGCAAGCCTCTGCAGCAGAAGAGGTGGACCAAACGTCTGCAGTCTGCAATAAGAAGACTGTTTGTTTTTTAACATCTGCAGGCTGCTAAAATAAACTGAATTTTAAATAAAATTATTTTACAAACTTCAAATGATTTTTCAACACCAAAATTTTAATAATAATAGTCATACAACACTGAAAATAAAATTCATGCGACTAAATTAGTCATACAATAAAAAAATGGTTTTACAATAACAATTTCATTTAAAACAATTCACAGCAATATTTCATATTTCCAGCACAATTTTTCATATTTTAATCAAGAAAAAAACTTATTTCAACAACAATTTTCACAGCAATATTAAACAACAATTCACAACATTTTGAGCAACATCTAACATCAAATTTAAGAAAAAACAACCATTTTCAGCAACAAGAATCAACAAATTTTACTAGATTATAGACTTTTCAGCAAGAATAAACAACATTCACAATTTTCAACAACAATTTTCAGCATATTAAACAACAATTTGAAACAATAAAAAGTATTTTCAACAAAAATCACAACATTCACAGCAATATTTCATATTTCCAGCACAATTTTTCATATGTTAATCAAGAAAAAAACTTGATTTCATCAATGTTATAGATTTTCAGCAACATTCAACAAGAAACTTATGCAAGAAAGGAAAAGGAATCAACAAATTTGAGAAAAACAAGCATTCTCAGCAACATCTAACATCAAATTTAAGATAAAAACAACAATTTTCAACAAAAATAATCAACAAATTTGATTAGATTATAGACTTTTCTGCAAGAATAAACACCAATTTCATGTGAGATTTGAAAAAAAAAAGGAAACAGTGCATACCTTCAAAAGCTGTGAAGTCCGACAGCCAAGAGGAAGAAGTAGCGCAGCGCTGTCCGGCGTTCTTGGCGGCGTTCTGGTCGGCGTCGGCGTCCTGGTCGGAGTCCTGGTCGGTGGAGAGCGTTGGCAGGGAGATCGATGGTGGAGCGAGGGTTGAGGCGTCGATGGTGAAGATGAGTTCTTTCAAGGCGTCGACTGGAATAATAGAAGTAGCGGCGTTTTTTTTTTTTTTAGGTTAAAAGCCCGCAGATGTGAGAAGTGGGTAGTCCATGTCTGTGTGGTGAAGACCTCGCGCAGACGTTTTTAAATGTTAGCCCTTCAAAAAAACAAACAGTCTGCGGGGATAAAAGTCTGCGCGTTGTCTGCGAGGCGCAGACAAAAATGGTGCTGCCGAGCTTTTAAAAAAAACAAACTACTCCTTAATCTCTTTCTAGTTTACAACTATTAGGATGTAAGCCTTTAAACATAGGTTTGTGTCACCTACTCGTAAAGTACACAAAATAAGTTATTTTCACTTTTAATCTCTTTCAAGTTTACAACTATTAGGATGTAAGCCTTTATACATAGGTTTGTGTCACCTACTCATAAAAGTACACAAAATAAGTTATTTTCACCTTTGATCTCTTTCTAGTTTACAACTATTAGGATGTAGGGTATCATACAATTTTTACCATGGGTATGTTGATTTGGTATGTTTTCCGGTTGTAAACACCACTCATCATGCTTTATTTCCCTAACCCTTTTTTTCATAGGTAAAAAATGCAAACATGTCAAATCAATGAGGTGGAAGTGCGGTCCCTTTAGCCTTATACTTTAAAGTGAAAATTACTTTTCTACAAAGGTGGATACCAAAAGGCTTGGAATAATATGCAACCATTTGCATGCCATAAGGACACGAACAGGAACATGACATTACCACAAAGTATAAGTATTTGAAGTATTTATTGTACATAATGTAGATGTTATATTGCATGATGGATGCACAACACAAATAAATCACTCTAGATGCATTGATTGATACTGATAGTGGAAACTACGAAGTAGAAAGTAAGGTAAGTATAGGTAATGAGAAAAATAAATGTATTAAGAGTAAGACCTAGAACCTCCATCTGATTACAGTCAGACAGACAGCAATATTGACCAAAAAAGAAACCAAAAACCACACTACAAACCTATACAAAAACCACACTGACGGACACCGACACTGGTTAGCTCCATCCACTCCATTCTTTTCTGTGTGCTGCTGATTTCTTCTACCGAAAAGAAAACACCTCTTGTTTTTTTATCTTTATAAGATATATATAATAACCAATGGATCAAGTTAAAAAGGGTAAAATTGTAAAAACAGAGGTTGAACCAATCTACTCATGTCATTGGGTACCCCGTGTCAACCCACTCCGTGCCACATTCCTGCATACAGAACAAAACATGTTATTGGTCATGCAGTATTTGGAGTGAGACTGAGACTGATACTGATGTGAATGGGACAAAAATAGGGAAAAGAAAGAGAAGAGAAGAGCAGACCTGGCGGGATGTAGGTGAGAGGTGTTGGTGGAGCGTTTTGCCCTGTTGTCCTGTTCCTTGTCGACACGCATAGCAGCTACTTCCTTCTCCATTGCAGCCACCTCTCTTCTCATCTTTTTCGCCTCAACCTCCATAGCCTTGGTTAACGTGTCTACTTTCTTCGCTAACATCTGAAAGAAACCAATATTACAAATTAAATTATATAACAAACAATAATGATCTATTTCGTATCAAGGAATGGAAAGGGTCGTTACATTCCATTCCATTATCATGTTCGTTTTGCTTAAACGGAATGACTCATTGAAAACAGGTTGCTTGCTCAGCAACTTAAATTCATAAAACAAAACAAAAATCATATTTTATTTATGTAAAATTTAGTCAAACTAATGCACAAATTACATATAAACATATTTTATCTTACTTTCAAACACTCAAAAGAAAACTTATTTATCACTTTAAAAATAAATTGTTTACAAAAGACCATGAAATCTAATATTATTATTAAAAAAAAATAGTAATTTCTAAAGAACAACAAAATTAATCTGATTCGTTTTATTTTGAAAATTATATAAATAAAAGGTATAAAATTTTGTGTTAAATTAGATTCAATACCAAGAAATTTGATGAATAAAAAAAATTTCTAGTCATTTTTGAAAAATAACATTAAAAAAAAATCAATTCCATTTATATAACTGGTTGTTATCTTGAAGGTCTTTTTCTCTATTTTCTTTAAAGCCAACAAACAAGACAAAAGATGCGTTCCAAGTCCTTGGTGTGTTGTAAAAGTAATATATTTTTCCATTCCATGGAAGCAATGAAAGTAATCAGGAACGAATGAGATTCCTATGTGGACTTGTAGTGGTCTACTATTCCATTCCATCTTGGATTTAGTAGGACATGATAAATAACAAAGGCAAGCACTAACCTCAATGGCATCATCCTTGTCTTTTATGCTCTGATCCTTTTCATAACCGGCTTTCCTCAAAGAAACCACCTCTTTCTGAAGCAGATCATACAAAACTCCTGGCACACTATCCTCCAAGGAGGCAGCTGGTTTTTCATCCGGAATTTCAGTATCCTTAGTTCCCTCACAGGTTTGGCCAAGGTTAAAAGAAGGACTCCCACGTCCACTTGTTCCATTTGAAATAAGTTTACTCCTATCAAGTGTCCGTGTACCACCATCAAATGACTTTGATGTCCCTTTAGCATGCCTCAAAATTGAACTGGAACCAGATGATCTTATTTGAAAAGATGGTGACCTTTTGGGTAAGTTTGGAGATAATTTGGAAAAGTTATCTGCTCCACCTAAGGACTGACGACGCGAAGCACCATTGCTCATGCCCATGCCCATGGGTGCTGAGCTACGAGAAAGAGAAAGAGAGTTGGGTGATCTCAAAGTGTCTTCCAGTACTCTCAGTCGCAATTGGAATTTCTCCTGTTAAAAATTAAAAAAAAAAAAAAAAAGGAGTTTGTTACCCTTACCCAGGCAGGAAACGGCAACATAGAACATGTTGTATGCATGCATTAGGCTGGGACAGGGACAGGGACAGATAAAATAATATGTCGTAAAACAAGGTGGAGCTGGGACAGGGATGTCAACACCCAACAAGGTAGAAAAAAAGGTGGAACAAAAATTTCAATTTTCTGACCCACCAAGAAAGTGGGACAAGGATGGGCCAAAAAGGTTGAAAAAAAAAAAGCAAAAAGGTTAAACTCCGATGGGATGGGCAAGGATTATGACTGGGACTCATTCTAAAACAATGCCCTCCTCATCAAAAAATAACCCTAGAAAGCTTGTCCTAGGCCATCCAAACAAGTTGTTCAGCTTTATTTATTTAGCTAATGTCAATGAAATGCATGTAACAAAGCAAATTACTTTCAGTTGTGCTTCAGACTTTGCCGCGCGCTCTGTTATAGCTAATTTGTCCCGCAGTTGTTGCATCTCACCCTGTTAATATTAACTATTAAGAATAGAATAGAATATTGTTTACTGTTTAGAAATAAATAAATATTTAACAGAAATAATAGTCGGCTACCTGCAAGAACCTTCTTTCTTCAAGCCATTGTTTAACTGGCATCACTTTGTCATTAGCATCTTTCCATTCATTAGCTACTACTGTTGCCACTCTATTTGCTGTAACCTTTGCACGAGCTAGCTCTCGATCCAGAGTTTTCCGCTCCTCCTATACATTTTAACAAATAACAATTACCAAATTTACCCTAATACACAGCAACTTTCATTGTTATTATAATGTGCTACACCCTATAGTCAATTATAAAGATGGCATTTACATTCATCTCTTGAACTTTGCGCTGATAATCCCTCACAGCATTTGCAGCCGCACCACCAGCAAGAACGGCCTCTTCAAGTTCGCGTACAGTTTGAGTAAGCTTTTCCACCTCAGCCACTTTTTGTCGATGCATTTTATCCAAAATTTTATTTTCCTCCTGACAAAGATTAAATATATAATAATATTTATTGGTTAAAAAATGCAACAAATAGCAAAATACTTTTATTTCTTCCATTGTGTTTTGAAAAATCTACCTAAACATTTTCAATGATCTACCTAAACTTTTGAAGTACAAATGTACAATGCTATATATATATATATATATATATATATATATATATATATATAATTTCAAGGTAAAATTTTGTAATAGAAAGAAATGGAAGTAGGTTATAAATGAAAGTTGGTAGTTATTTCTTGCATTTAGCCATATTGGAAAATGAGGATGACCAATTAAAGGCCTAAGTGATACCTGGCAAATTTCTATCTGCTTCATCAACTCCTGGTTCTTATTCTGAAGATCATCCACCATTGAAGCCTTTGCCAAGGCAACCTGCACAGTTCTCTCAGCTTCAAGTAGAGCAGCCTCTTTTGATTTAGTCAATCGATCTAATGCTTTATTGTCATCCTGCAGCTTAGCAATCTGAAACCCAAAAAAGGGTAACACTATAAATGTTTAAATTTTTCTGCAATGCAATGCAAAACAGGTTGTACTTTGTATTGCTTTTAGGATGCATTCAAACTACTGATGACAAAAGACTAAAAGAGAAGAGTCTTGAGCTGCAAACCTCTTGTCGAGCAAGCTTTAGCTCAGCTTCTAGTGGTGCAAGGATTGCCTCAATTGGAGGCATATCATCGTCTTTTTGAGCAGCATGAACCCTCCGAAGAGTGGCTTCTGCTGCAAACTGAGCCGCCATTGATGCTTTCTTCTCATCATTGATTTTCTTGATTTCAAGAGTCTACATGTATTACAACACCCGAAAACCAAGTCTATCATATCAAATGCTATCTGATAAAATAAAATAAAAAAAGCAAAAGTGCTTTGGTCAATACTTTGGTATCTAGAAGAGATTCTGTCAACTTCAGCTTCTCGTCCACCTTCGACAATTCTTCAGTTAGCTAAGCCAAGGTTTACAGAACAAGACAAGATTTTGTCAGTTTAACTCCACAACTACACATATGATTCACAAGAGATGGAATGGAACACAACAAACAGTATGTACCAGCATTATTCGATTATCAAAGATTTTTCATCTACCCTGTCAAATACTTAATTTCAGCATTTTTGGCAAATCAAAGAAACATAATTAACAGGTGCACGCTTCATTAAAGGTCTACACAAACACAGAAAGGAAATAATTACCCTGCATCTAATGATCTAAATCAGCAAATTAATTCCAAAATAGGGAACAAATAACACCAAAATCATGCTAAATGTCTAACCAACAATGACATACCAACACCAAGACTTTTCGCAATACACAAGATTAACATTTAAAATCCAGATGCCCCACAAGTAGGATCCTTCCTTTGCGTGGAAGAAGTTATGAACAGAACAAATACAATAGAATATGAATATGCAGATGACAGTTATGCTTCATTTAATAAGCAAAACAGAAACACAATTATCCAAGCCGATTATAGATTGAAACAGGCAGCTGAATCCAACAAGCATTCAAATTCAAACATCTGGCCTATCAAGACTCCACATTGCGTCCAATTAAATTAGAAAATAGATGATGAAAATTATAACCTCTTCAACAGCTTTCTCTCTTAGGCGTTCAGACAGCTTGAGCGCCTTGATCTCCGCTTGTGCTTCGCTCAATTCTCTATCCTTATCTGCAGAAAAGTCAAGTGAATCCCCCGTCGGTGAGCTTAAAAATTCAAAAATATATCAAATGAAACAACTAGAAAATTAGTTAGTCGGTCCATACGGATCAATTCACATTACTCACCTCTAACTTCATTTTCCAACCGATTGAGCTCCAGCTTTACCGGATCCGACCCGTGGAGCAGATTTATAAAGTCATCAGCGTCTAAGCTCGGTCTCCTCGAGCTCCTCCTACGACTAGTCATACCCGAACCCCTCCCCCCGCCTTCCCTAAAAGAGCCTGACACCGTCAACGGCGTCGACTCAGCTATCGGAGGCCGTACATTGCCGCCGCTGTACTCACCTCCTTGCAGCATTTCCGGCATGTCCGTCATTCCTCCGACACCACCACCGCCGGATACATCCTCCATCACTCCGATCTGAACTTAATCACACATGAATCAACTCGACATAAAAGCCTTTATCTTCTAGGGTTTCTCAAACATACATACAGTGTAGTAGATGTGCATGTATGTATATATAGAGATTTATTTACAGATTTTCGCGTATAGTAGTTAGAAAGAGACAGAGTGTGTCAACTAGGTGAAGAATGGAATGCTTGTTTTCTCTCTCTGGATTGGAATCACCTCAGATCTCTGAGCTGCTTTCTCTCTCCAGAAGAATGTGCGATTTGAATGTGGAAAGCGATCGAGTTCTCTCTCACTCACATACAATTTGAAACGTATTTAATTAAATATTTGCAGTTTCTTACTCGATTATGGCCCCGTTTGATAGTTGCGGACTGAGAAAGGTCCGTCTAAGTAAGAAATTCTGAATAAGAAATCATGTTGTTTGATTGGAAATCTGACTGAATGTGCTGACCGATGCAAAATGACCATGATACCCCGATGCTCTACGGTCTACACGTTTCTATACAATATTATAATAATAATAACAACAATAACAAAAACAATAATAATAAAAAAAACAACAACAATTACATGAAGGCTTCAAAATTCTCACAAATACCAAATATGCTTATTTTCTAACCATTCATTTAAAATCTCAGCTTCTTGTCCACTAGGCAATGCAAGAATTATTGAAGCAAATACAGACTTCAAAGATTGCCATATTTCACTCATTTTAACTACTAAACACTCGTTTTCATCAATTGTTAAAGAATCAAACAAAGGCTTCAAAATATGAAATTTCATCAATTGTTAAAGAATCAAACACAGGCTTCAAAATCTGAAATTCAAACAGCTAATTTGCAAATTGACCAAAACAACAAACATCAACATAACAGCAAACAAAAAACAATAACAGAACACCAAAAATCTAAAATTCAAACAGCAAAAATATGACCCAATCAGTCTTAAGGAACTATACATTAGCAGCAAACAATAACACAACAACAAACAACAAAAATCGGCTATATAATAGCAAAAATCGGAACACCAAATAGGAAAAGAACAACAAAAAAGATCAAAAAAAACGAATCTTTAAACAAGAAAAGAAGTTACCTGATGAGAAGAGGAACAAAAAAATCGGACCTTCAAATCGACGATTCTTGTTGTTCAAATCAGAACATAAAAATCGAAACTTCAAATCGAGGATCTTGTTGTTCTATGAAGAAGAAAAACGTGTTGAAAGAGGAGAAAAACCGAAGGGGATGGAGGCGCTGATAGTTCTACAAAGGCAAGGGTAAAATTGGAAACGTAGAAACTCTTTCTCGCTCAGCTCCTTTTTTTCTTCTAACCCACTCAGATATTTCTTTGTGAGTCAGACAACCAAAATTAATCTATCAAACACCTACATCTGACCGAGTCAGCCAAAAACGTCTGACTCGACTCGGTCAGACACAAATCAAACAGAGCCTATGCCTATACCAAAGTAGCATTCCGTTAACATCTAAATAAGTTCCGTTAAAATCCAAATAAGGTTAATGCTGTTTAAAGAATCAAGATACTCGACTATTTGATTTTGTTACAAATATAATAAACTAGATGAATATCTGTGTTTTGCGTAGAATACAATAATTTGAAATATTTATAAATATATGTTTTTTAAATATATCAATGGCGTTGTTGTTAACTCTTATATATAGGGATACAAACGGGGGCGGATATTAGCGGGGACTGCAATCCCCGTCCCCGTACCCGACTTCCAATCCCCATACCATACCCGCACCCCGCCAAATCCTCCACGGGTTCAGGTGAAAAAAATCTCCACCTGATGTGGGGAACCTGATGGATAAGGGTTTAATACAAAAAGTCCAATTATTTTTGTAAATCTAAAAAATATGAAAAATTATAAACAATAATCATGATAACTGAAATTTTCAAAAGTTCATACTTCATTCTCATACATGGTATCACAACATTCATATTTGTTAAGATACAAAAAATAATAATAATAATAATAATAATAATAATAATAATAAATAAATCAATCAAAAATAATTATAAATTCTACTCTTAGAATCTCGTTCAAAAAATAATCTTTGGTCTTTATCGCCAACAAATCTTCATAATCTAAGTATAAAAATCTAGACTGCTGGATCTACAAAGCTCTAAATGCTTATGCGTAGTTTCATTCTTGTTTTTTCCACTTAATCATTTCATGCAATAGTTACATACGACCATATCAACTCTATCAATCTTTTGCTTTTTAGAATGACTCTAAACTGTGTCAATCTTCTTTTTGGTTTGGGGTTGTTGATCTTGATTTTCACAACAAAAAAATTATTATTATATATATAGATTAAAAGTATGTTCCTCAAGGAACAGTACTTTTCTGTTATTGGTGGGTTTTTTTTCTTTTTCGTTTCTTAAGGTGTCCTGCTCCATCTTCCGATGTGTGTCCACCCACCGCCATCATCTGGTTCTGATGTCCACCCCTCTCATTCACAGAGCACCGCCTTATCGTTATCTTTATGACTCTATCTATCGGCTCCTTCCCTAATGTATTTCGACTGTTTGCCCTTCATTTGCTTCGTCCTTGGCTCTTGATTTCTACCAGATACAAAAGATTTCTTCGACAGTATCCTCCAGCAACCAGAGATTAGGGTTCGATTTTGGCTTCAACAGACATTTCAGCCACAGTACACCCCCGACGTCTCTGCTATCTGCCGACTTCCACCTTCTTCGATTTCAGCCACCGCAATCTCCGGTGACACCGCCTCCACCACAATACCTACCTGACCAGTGTACTGTTCATGGGTTACTCTTACTCTACCATGGTCACCGCTCAAATATCTGGATGGTCCTTTTTTGTTCGACAACTATTTTGCGCCGACATTCACCACTTCATCTTCTTCTTCAACATGAAACAAGGGAATTTATCGGTGGTTTCATTCTCTCTCAAATTCATCTCCCAAATCAATTTCATCTCTGTAAGTTGACGACGAACTTAGGTCAGGAATCTTGCTCCCAACGACCCTTCACCCACTCTCCTTCCCAAAGTCATTCTCTTAATTGAAAGCTTTGCTAATGGTTTGTGTTTATGGTTGTAGTCCTGAAATCTGATAATTGTAACAACCCGTCATTTTCAAATCAATAAGAGTCTAAACCACATTTCAATCCTTATTGTATTTTATTCTCTATTGCCTTAAGGGCATGCTTATAAACCAATAACTAATTATAGTTTGAAACCTAAGATTGATTATTGTTAGTACAAATTAACATAAAATAAAATATGAAGGTTTAAAACTATAAAATAACCACCATATGATAGATTTGTTGGATTAGGTGTCTAAGCCCATAACTATAGTTGGTATGTACTTGAATTGATAGCAGCACAGTCCTTTTGGGTTGCCCTCGACCTAGCAACTGGACAAGGAAATTATGAAAGGAGAGATATTAATTTATAAGATTAATAAATTAATATATATATATATAAATGATTTATTAATATGTTAATGGATTACTATATTAATTAGAAATCATTATGTTTAATTAATTGTTAGCCAGAAATTAATCAGAATTGATTTTGGGGTTAAAAGAATTAATTATAAGGTACAGGGACTAGTTTGCAATTATCTAATAGTTGAGTGGAAGGCTCTAGAACCCCCTTGGAAGAGGGTGGACGAAATCTTTAGGGGAAACCCTAATAATTTCGTCCATAGGGGCTTGGATAAGGCCCTTGGGTTTGCTTAGGCCCTAAGCAAAGGATAACTAGGGTTTCCCTTAAACCCTAGATCCCTCAGCTATATAAGGAGCCTCCTGGTTCATGTTTTTGGTCACTCTTTCTTTTGAAGAAACCCTAAGGCCGAGATTTTGCATACTCCCTCCCCTCTCTCTTCTACTTTCCTTCTTGCTAGTTTGGGTGTGATTCCATTAGAGGCATTACACTTGTGGTGCTAAAGCTTCCAAGAAGATCAAGATCAAGATCAAGGGAATATCAATTGTTTGCTATAACAATTGAAAGGTATGTAAACCCTAAACCCTAGTTTGTTATTTTCGAAAATAGCCTCTCTCCTCTAGGGTTCTTGTTTTGCAATTCAAAGTTGTATGTTCAATAGTTAAAACATAGATCCAAAGTAGGTTGCATGTGAACTTAGGAATTGTTTTCTAGTTTATTTGTTGTACCTAAAACCCATCAGTGGTATCAGAGCCATTGTTGTTTTAAATTGAATTGCTACAATTGTTGATTTGCAAATTAGGGTTTATAGCTATTAAACCCTAAAGGCCAATTTTTCGATTTCTAGGGTTTTGGATCAAAGGGTTTTTTCGAAAACCCTAGCCTCCAAAGAACCCTAATCGAAATTAGGGTTAGGGTTTTGAAAACCCTAGCCTCCTCCCTTATGAATTTCGAAATATGCTAAGAGGATAACTAGGGTTTCTTGTTTTTGGATAATTGTTACTTAATTAGATTAATTGGATAATTATCCTTACCCTATTTTTCGAAATTAGAGGGATAAGGATTAGGATTAAATTAATTGATTAATTTAATTAGATAATCCTTACAAGATTTAATAATTTGAATATTAAATCTAGTTAATTGGTTTATTTAAATTTGAATTTAACAGCTTAAATTTCGAAATTTATATAAACCCTTGAAGTTTTAAAAAGTTTTAAAACACACCTTATATATATATTATAATTAAAAGTTTAATATTATATATGTATAAGAATATGGTCAGTCAAATCGCTAGTATGCCTCATTCACGAAGCTAATCTATAAGGGGGGTATAAGGAAACTGCCTATAAAATGGTAGTTGAATGGGTGTCCACTCTCACCCACCGCTTCCTTGATTAGTGGAGGGTCGTTAGCAGAACGGATTTGATAGGACAACTACTTCTCATTAAAAGTATAATGATATTAAAGAAAGTACTAGAACATTATTTTCAAAATCCCAACTCTAGTTACTTTAGGAAAAATGTGAAAAGTATGCTAATCCATGAAATTGCACATTATGCTTTATTGGTCGTTAGTGGAGCGTGTGTGGTTAACCAGCACACTAAAAGGCACTAATAAAGAGTAGTAATGGGTATCTCATAATTGTCATTTTGATGGAGCGTGTGTGGTTTACCAGCACATCAATAGTTAATGATAAAGACAATGAGGTTACCAAGCACATTTGCATGGTTATTCACATCTTGTTTGTGATCCTCGGCATCCCAGTCACAAATAGAAGAGCATAATCTGAGATTAAAACATGACATTGAATAGTTTCAATGTATCTCAAAAGAATTAGGAATTTCACTTCGTTTGTTTCGTC